AATTAAAAAAAAAAAATCAGAAAGGAAAGTAACATTATGTTTTTGGTAATTAAGCACCTAATTGCAGTTCTATAATGCTTGTTTCCCTTCATCTTTGCCTTTATACTCTTTGTCTCTTTATATAACAATTTTATAATTTTTTCTAGAGAGGAAAACATAATTCAGTCTTTACTGTGGTTGATCAAAATGTGGTCATTATTGGTTTCAAAAAGTTACTTTTCACTTCAGTCTTTTATTGGCAATGCCGTATCTGTAAATTCCTTGGCAGTTTTTGCCTGAGGCCAAAACTTTTAGAGACTGTCAACCTTCTAATCTGGCTGGTCAGCCACTCACTCCACCTCCCTGTTCCCAGTTACAGATTCTCACTGACTTCTTCCTCACCAGGTCTGACCTAGGGTAGTAAGGGGGCCAGGGAGTCAGGGTGCTCTGAAGCCTAGGTCAAAGTAGTAATGAGCAGTACCTGGTTCAGATTCCTATCACTGAAGGTAAGAATGGGTCAGGATGCTCATGGCAGGCCTATCAGAAGGAGCTGTCATTAGGTGTAGGCAGAGGGAGAGGATTTTCTGAGCCCACCAGGCCAACCAGCAGCCCCTGGATCATGACAGGCAAGGGCAGTGATGCCCCCAGGCTGAGTTAGCAACTTTGTCTTCTTGCTGGGGTAGTTGCTTTCTCCTGCAGACAGCACCTGAGCCTTGAAAAAGACCTTGAATTTTAATCTCCATCTATGCCTTGTATCTGCATCTAATTGGCCATCAGCAAATAATGAAATAGGTGGCTAACTTGCAGGAACACCCTTTCTCCTATGAGCATTTTTGTTCTTGGAACGTAACTACAGAGGAAATTCACAGATAGGGAATTTAAGTAATAAGTTTGAATCTCAAGGTGCTTTTTAAACCTATCAACAATAAACTATCAAACTTTGAACAATCATGTTAAAAACTGAGTTATTATTCTATGCTCTCTGTAATAAATATTACAAAGTTGTCATATGAAGAGTCAACCAAAGAGTATGTAGCCAAAAAGTGTAGGAAAAAAGGTGCCATAGTGTTGTGATCCCCTAACCAGCCCCAGAACCCAGAGGAGATTCCCCTCAACCTTGTAGGACTTGCTCTTGGCTTCCTGGTAGAGCTCATTAAGCAACATGTCCCTTTTGATTAAATGCCTGGGAGCTACTTAAGATGCCCCCCACCTTGGATGACTGAATTTAGATCAGAAATTTTAAAAACAAAATCATTAAGACTTTAAGGAATTTACCTATAACTGTGGAATTAAATGGAGCCAGTAGGGAAGGTATTATGATATTGGAGAATTTCCCCTCAATTAAGCCAAGAGATAGACATACCCATAACATTTATGGTTAAAGTCAACACCAAGTCTGAGCTTAGCAGCTATTGATCATTTACCAGCTGTATGACCTGTAACAAATTTCTTAACATTTTTATTAGTCCTAGTCTTCTCATCAATTAGAAAGGGGAATGATGCTATGGTCATACTTAGCTTGCAAGGTGTGAAAGCACTTATTACAGTGCCCTACATATGGTGCTTAATAAATGTGATTTCTTCCTATGATTTTACAATATCAGTTCTTGAATTTTATGGTTTTCTATGGTGTCCTTCATCTTTGCTAAATGGTCCATTTATGTAACGTGAGCTCCTGCTGAAACCCAAGAGACCTCATTGTTTAAGTCGTTACTAATTCCTGATTTTTGCTTTATCTCCTTCACCTGAAGACCAAACCCTGAACTTTTGCTTATACCCTGTATTACCTATTTTGTGTGATGTTGATGCTAATCCCTGGAACAAATGTGCTGACAATGTTAGATCATTTCTTTACATAGATTTTGATGCTCATCTTCCTAGAAAGACTGGCCACATCTCTCAAAGGGCAAGTCTGAGGCATCATAGTACATAACACTTTTTCTCCTGCTCAAATTTCTCTGGGCTGCACATATTTCTAATTTTAGGAGTAGCTGCAAGCATTTAGGAGTTATGCACTCACATATTCAATGGTCTATGCCAAAGCTGTCCATGTCTGATAGGGTAATGTGTACTCAGTTATTTTAAATTTTTTCATTTGAAATGAATGCTTTACTGTTTCCACATTTTCTGATATTCAGAAATATACTTTCCCAGACCTCTTCCTAAAGCATGTGGATTTTAAGGTCTGCACCAGAGCTCTGTTCTGCTCTTGACTGTTGAATATATCTGGCTTACTTAAAAAAATTGTGTTTGCCCATAGAGGGGCAGGGAACTGGGGAGGAGAAGGTAGGTAAGGTAGGATTCTAACTCCAAATAAGCTGATTAAAAGGTATCTGAGATGATTGTTTTCAAAGGTGGAAAGAGATGGCTGGAAATCAGTGGGCAGGTATGTTGGAATATAAAAGTGATCAACATGAATACAGGCCATATCATCAATGCCCTCTGAATGCAAAGGGAAGGGAACTACTATGCCATGGCTTCCTTCAAATTGATGTGTTTTTCCAAACTTAGAGGAGCAAGAGAAACGCTTGCAGGGACTTTAACTTGAAAAAAAATAGGCTTGTAGCATTAACATAGCATGTTGAGTTCTTTGGAGCCAAGGTGCTGGCTAAGTTTCTCCTGCTAATAAATGCTTTTATCACAAAGTTTATGCGATTCCACTATCTGGTGATGCATACCAAGTTTCTTTGGTTTGTAGCAAGACCATTTTGCATTACAGTTATTCAAAAAATCATTGATCAATTACTAAGATGAAACTTAATAAGAAGTAAATTCTTGACATGCATAGAAGTACATGGATGGTTAAAAGAAACTTGGAAATTGGAGTAACTGAAATAATTTAATCTAATCCAGTCATTTCACAGGTGGGAGAGTGGAGGCCCAAGTTACTTGTAGGATTGGGTCAAAGAAAGCCAGCATTCTTTGACCAGCATTAACATGTGTGTGTCCTGATATTTACTCAAACTATGACATAATATCTGTACACCAGTCACACAGAAATGAACTAGAGGTGATATCGTTTAGATGTCCCTTCCAAATCTCATGTTGAAATGTAATACCCAGTGTTGGAGGTGGGGCCTAGTGGGAGGCAGATCCCTCGTGGCTTGGTGTTCTCCTTGCAATAGTGAGTACTTACAAGATCTGGTTGTTTAAGTGTGTGGCACCTCTCCCCACTTCACTCTTGCTCCCACTCTGCCATGAGAGATGTCTGCTCCCACTTTGCTTTCTGCCATGAGTAAAAGCTCCTTGAGGCCTCCCCAGAAGCCAAACAGATGCCAATGCCTTGCTTCCTGTACAGCCTGTAGAACTGTGAGTCAATTAAACCTCTTTTCTTTATAAATTATCCAGGCTCAGGTATTTCTTTATAGCAACACAAGAATGGCCTAATACAAGTTGGCGGGGGGGCGGGGGGGACTTCAGGACACCTATATAAACAAAGTGAAAACATTTACATTTTCTTTATACTTTACTATTATAATAAAAATAAAGAACATTAGAAATGGATATTGAATAGTGAATGTGTGCAAAAGCTCAAAATAAAATCTTTTCCAAGAATTTTAATGAGACAGTTGAGCTTGCTTCCATGTACATAACTGTTTTATACCAAGTTTTATGTTTGAAATGGCTGCAAGCAAGTCCTGATCAAGTCTTTTTAATGATCTCTTCAAATTCTTGATAGTCACCATTGATGAGAAACTTTGTTCTCACAAGTAGGTGATAAAAAATTTAACACCATTTTTTACAGTCATTCAAAAATTTACAACAGTTGAAATTACCTTTCTTTAAAGAATCTGAGCTTTTCTTTTTTATTTTCTTTGACCAATGTAAATGTTAAAATTTCTTTTGATAATGAGAATGGATTTCAAATTCAGTCAAACTTTTTTCATTCCAAGTATTTCAATAGAAAGGCGCTTGAACATGCAGAATGTGCTCGCAGTGCTGGAGCTCTTGCCCTGCTGTTTGTATGGACTCCATAAAAAGGGCGCTGCTACTGCAAGTACAGGTGTTAAGTGTCCAGCATATGTGAAGAGAGAGGTGAAGGGCAGCCCTTGAACTCTACCCTGCTGGAGTCTCACCTGTCCTATCTCCTCATCTCCCACACTCAATCAAGACTTGGACCTCATAGCAAGCTCCTTAGGCCCCTGGAACAAGAAGTCTCTGGCATCTCTGCAGATTTCTTGCCCACACAAGGTAGCAGCGTGCACTGAAGCAGACTGTTGATACAGACAGTGAGGAGCACTTTCCTGCCAGCACTCTGTGTGTTGCAGATAAGCTTGTGGTATTTGCCACCTGAAGGTACTATGGGACATGCTGTCAGAATCCCCTCAGACTGCTTTCAAGGAATCCTGGACTGATGATCAGCTCAGGACTTCATTTATCCCAGGCCTCATGGGCCAGAGTTTCATTAGATCACAACATACCTGTAACCACTGCATGGCACAAAAATCAGGAAGCCCAGAGAACACAAATGTCTGGCCCACATCTGTGAGTGACAGCCCAGGACTAGAAGGCATTGTCTACCCCTCAGTCTGTGTTCTTTCCCCTTTCCATAGTTCATCTCATTAATAATTCGACCAACATACCATCCTCAAGGGTAGAAGTATGTCTCCTGAATTCTACCAGCAGACCAGTAAATGTGGTAGTTTTACTTCTCATGTATAATAAGTAGTAGTCCTAGAAATTCACATGATTTATATCCATTGGAAATTTTATTTTATAAATTAAAAATAATAAATCCTGTTCCGTTCATTGTGAGATCACAGAGATACTGCTGCCCTCTTCCCTAAATGTTCAACATCAGTGAGACTGGTACCACTGACCACTTTTCATCTATCAATCACTATGGATGGAAAAATAAAAACAAGCAATTTCTTTTATCATCTTTTCCTCCCAAACTCCATTCATTATCTGACTTTGCATATGCTTCATCCATTTCAATTCCCCTGGGCTGAGCAGTTTATGTTCTAAAGAGCTGCAGACTAGACTAAAAATGCCCTTCTTTCCTCTTTCTTTTATAAAAGAAATATTTTTTTCTCCTGTGCCTGGGAAGAAGTGCTGAGTGGACAGCCCTGGTGGCTTCTGTTTATACTGTGAGCAACTGAGACACAAATCAGTACCAGGGTTATCTTGATTTCTGCCTGGAATAATATTGTCCTGCAAGGACCCACTCTGGGGACCCAGAAGGTGATATACCCCTTTCTATCACAGGTATGTGCCTAAGAGTGCAATTTTAGCCCCTTTGATGCTGCCAGAGACAATGAATAGTGATAGGATGGAGGAGTGGCACCATGTCACCACACTGTCATCATAACTCACCACCAACACACATTAAATGCCTACTTTGTACAAAACCATGTGCTAGTACTATGTACTAAGTCTATGTGTTAAGTCTAGCCTAGGATAGAAAAAATAATAATAAACATTTGTTGAACATTTCCTATACTCCAGGCACTAAATCAAATGTGTTGCATGCATCATCTAATTAAGCCTCACCATGATCCAATGAAGACTGTGTTATTATTCCAATTTTCACATAAACATATTATTATTCCCAAGATTATGATCCTTCTATGTAAAGATTCCTCTTATTTTATCTAATGCAAATGTCTTTTTCTCCAGTTCAGCTCCTTGTTTGTTTTCTTCATAACACTTCACACATTAAAAAAAAAATCCTTTTTTCATTTGTTGCATTCTTTTTTTTTTTTTTTTTTTTTTTTTTTGCTGTCTCTCTCAGTACTCTCAGTAGTATGTTATGTTCTGAGGTTAGAGCTCCTGTGTCTTTTGTTTCACTGCCTAGCAGGGCACCTGGACACATGGTAGGATCTTAGTGTTACTTGAGTGAATAAATAAAGTTAATACAAAGAAGTTAAGTACCTTACCCAGGGTCATGGAGTTAGTGAGTGACAGAGCTGGGATTCAATGTCCATGAGCTTATGCACATAGCTATTCTCCTACATATATGATAACCCTGTTTGGAATTTGAGATTTAGACATAGAAACCAATACAGAGAATTCAGGGGTTCTGCATCCCAGAGAAAATCGCTTTTTTCAGGTGTAGTGTGGGAAAAAAAATTCTATTTTAGATCCCCAGCTGAAAATATGGTAGGATTCCTGCTAGATATACTGACCCACTGACCACATTACCTTTTCCTGCTCATCTTTTGATTTTCTCCTCCACTTCTCTTTGCTACTTAAGGACACTGGATTTTGTGGATGCTCCTTGGACATACTGGAATGCACCTTGGGTAGCCCATGGATCATTTTCCCCAGTATGAAGCATGGGAGGGCTGGAAAATGAGCTCATGAGCTGGTGGAGCCAGCACAACAAGCTGGAGCCAGGTAGGCCTATTCATGATCCGAACTATATTTATTATCTGACTTTGCTCCCAGAAGCTGCATAGCCAGAAATCAGTTTTTCCCATTGACATTGGACCAACTGAAAGAATAGAAAGATTAAATTGATGAGAGGATTGGCTGTCATATAGAGCTTTTCTCTCATCTTTAGCTGAGAAGGGAGAATCAAACATAGTGCTCAAGGCTTCAATCAGAGTAGGCACGCAACTAATATTTACTGCATGAATAAATGAATGACTGACTGGAGAATAAGTGTTTCCCCTCATTAATAGTCCATCTTTCCCTTAACTTGTTTAAGTTCCTTCTGTGAGAATTTCTAATGAGAAGCTTTCACTCACAATGTTGTAAATATCACTGTTTCTCTCTTATATAGACCAATTATTACATTAAAATTGTAATATCTTTCACTTCTCTTTCTTGGGAAGACTTCCCAGGGACAGTGAGACTTTTTTCAGACAACCAACTGCTTTGGGAATCATAAAACCACTGGTATTTTAAACTCTACAGATGATACCAAAACTTTTTTTAAAAAAATTAAAAAGAGTAACAGATGGAATTTATGATCTCATCTTGGCGGCGGGGGTGGGCAGTGCAGCATGTACTTAGATCAAGAAATTTCCTGAGTTGTGAGTGGATGTGACTCACTTTTTATACCAAGGCCATGGAATATTAAGGGACCGTTTCCATCTCTATGTTCCTGAAATGGTATAATCTCTACATCATTGATGATAAATGTATTATGTTTTCTGTTAAATATCATATTATCTGGGGGAAAAAGAGGCACTGGTGTTATCAGTGGTTAGAAAAGAACCTTTGTATATCTCAAAGTTTTTACATCTTTAATTGGGATTTTTCTTTTCTCTATTTCTCTCTCTCTCTCTACCCCCCCCTTCTTTTCTTTCTTCTTCCTTTCTCTCTCTCTTAATATACATCTACTTCTCTTGAGCAATTACATGTCTTTGGTAACTCTCACCAACGTAAACTGGCAACATTATTATGAGCCTGTGAGTTTTCATCCTGAAGTGATGCAGTGGAAGTTTCACTGAGGCAGTATCTTGGTGATATTCTCCTTCCAGTAGGGCTGTCTGTTGGGCTAAATGTGCAGTTGAAGAGAGAGACAGACACCCGCCCCACCCCATCCTCCAGGACCATCAAAGTTCTGTGGGTATCGACAGTGGGAATTGAGCCAGCTACAGTTAACTTTCAACACATGCATAAACCAACTGGGATGTCTCTGTGGCCTCATCAGCATGTGCATTCAAATGAGCTCCCATTAGCATTATTATCCCAGATTTCTTTCTTTTGTCCCACCCTGCTCAAACGTCCCTGCCAAGGCCTCCCAGTGAATTCCTGGGAGTCCCCAAGGAGTGTCTCGTCTCCTCACATGCCTGCCAGTCAGGTCCTTAATCAGCCCCCCACCTTCCTCTCCTGGATCCTCCACTCATGCCAGGTTGGAGGGAACCTCATTGTAGCACCAGCTGGTGGTGCCTATGGTAAGAACGAAGTGTTTGTAACACTGGTGACATCTCCCTAACTTGCTAGTCTTCAAGGAGCCAGAGCTGTCTGGGTGCCTCAAAGAAGTAGGGAAGAATGATCCTCACCCTAGTTCTGTGCCATACTTTGATATGCACAAGACTGGCCATGTTGGGGTCCAGGTGACAATGTCTCTTGAAAATAGCTCCCTCAGACTCCCTTACCCTTCTACCTACCAGGTGATTACCCAGTCCAGGGGATCAGTTGCAGATGGTAAGTTTCATTCCCACTGTCGCTACCCACAGAACTTTCTTGATGATTCTGGAGAATGGGGGTGAGGGTGGGGCGGGTGTCTCTGTTCAACTGCCCATTTAGCCCAGCAGACAACCCAGCCCTACTGAAAGGAGAATATTACCAAGATACTGCCTCAATGAAACTTTCCATTCGCTTATTCACTGTGCCTTACAATGCACGATGCAATAAGCATTCCTTGCCTCCTTCACTTGCTCATTCAGCAGTTCAGTTAGATCATGGCTTCAACTCTCCACGGCTATGCCCCCATCTCAAAACTACGCAAAACAACAAACAAAAACAAACCACTACCATCACCACCAACACACTCTCCTTGCTCCAAAAACAAGAGCTCTTGTGGATATCAGATTATACAAAGTTGTACACAGAATAGCCACTACTCTATGTTGTTCTGCAAACAGCCAAATTCTGACCCTCCACCTGTGCTCAGCAGAGACTTATGCTACTGTGCTCTACATGGTAGCCCCCACTTTCCATGTTCTGTACACCCCTGCTGGAGACTCCGCCATTCGCTTACTCACTGTGCCTTATAAGCACGATGCAATGAGCATTCATTGCCTCCTTCGCTTACTCATTCAGCAGTTCTGCTGTTATCAGTTAGCCACAGCTAATGTTGTACATCAAACCACGCTCAAGCTCCATGGCTTAACAGAAAAATCATCTATTCTCTCTCATATATTTGGGTTTGGCTGATCCAGGTTCAGTTCAGCTGGGCTTGATTTCAAGCTACAGATTGGGTCCAGATGTGCTCCTTATGTCTTCTTCACCCTCTTTGGACCACCAGGCTAACCAGGACATTTCTTCTCATGGCAGAAGCAGAAGAAGGGCCAGCCCATCTACATAAGCACATTTGCAGGCTCTGCTTATATCAAGTCTACTAGTATTCTATCGAGCCAAGCAAGTCACAGGGCCAAACCCCACGTCAATGAAGCAGAGGTACCGCCTCCATGGAGGTACAGAGGGGCGGGAATTGGGGATGGTGGGCAGGGAGTGAATATTTGCTAAATGATAATCTAATCTATCACAATGCTCCAGCCCTAACTTAAATGGTCAGTAAACAAGTCATGGAATATAGTCAAGAAAATACCAAAGGAGCTATTTTTGCCTGAAACAGGCTGCTCTGACAAGTTTATGTGGAAGCATACATCCATGTCTCATATTGTGGGACCACGTGTACAAATACTTCACATCTAAGCATTACCACTTGCCTTCTTGGTCAGCTCCCAGCTGATTTTGTTTGAAACAGTCACGACTTACTCAGTGAGGGATCTCTGGTTTCCAGAATCAATTCTGCCTTGTCTTTCAAGAAATCATTCCTGCTTTCTCTGCCTTGTATTCCATGCTGTTTGAATCGCCTGAACTTACTTTCACTGTTGCCCCATTTGCAAATCTCCTGTGTTCAGACTTCCCTGTTGTACCAAAATGTTTCTGAGAAGTCTGTAATAGCTTTCCAAATTAAAAAAAAAAAAAAGGAAAAAACAGAGGTCCTTTCCTATCACTCTTCTTCCAGCTTAAATTGTGTGTATGTATTAATATATATGTGTATGGGTATATTTGTTTGTATCTATAGAGAGAATATGTGTGTGTGTGATGTAATTATTACTCTTATTGCTGGTGACGGAATAGAGGTTAAACAAACAAAAACAGCAAAGACACATATACAGCGCACGCTCGTCCCTTCCTGCAGGTGAGGAGAGTTGCAACACTATATTTGGGATCCTTCTTGCTTCTATTGTTCTGCATTCTCTTTGATCTGAAATAGTAACATAGAAACTTTCTTTCACAGGGACAAAGATATCCTTTTTAGCCACGTGTTTAATTCTTCAATGTCAATATTTGCAGAAAACATAAGCACAGCATGATATTGCCTTGGAGTTGTTGATTAATCCCATTCGGAAGCTTCGGTAAGTTTTTTTTTTTATCTTCAGCTCATCATTAGTCTGGTAATGGTGTGTGTGCCTCTTTCAGTGAGTGTATTATTGTATTGCCCCAAAGCCTAATAAGGACGACAGTGAGACTTTATTGTGGATTAAGTTTACAGACTTCCTCATTCCCATCCAGTTCCATGGGAGGAATGACTTAATGTCCGGAGCTGCACGCCCCGGCCATAGCGAATAATAATTAAGGATTAAACGCCTGAGCTATATTCATTTCCACCCCACACCTTCTCCCTATCTTTGCCTTTTTTCCCCTGTACTAATACCTCATTAAAGATGGCGCTCTTCCTGCTTCTTCTTCACTCACTTTTCCCGCGCCAGGGAAAATTGTTACTTAATAGCGCAAGCGCAACATGACGTCGTCCGACCAGAGAAACCGAAACTAACCTGGCCACGCCCTCAACAATGAGATCATTTCCGCCTTAGCCCAACCCCTTCCCTTCCAAGTGTATATAAGGCAGTGCATTACCGCCATTAAATGAGACTTGATCAGAGCACTATCTTGTCTCCATTTCTCGTGTCTCTTGTTCCCCAAATTCCCACCCCCTCCTCCAGGGCCTGCTCTGACTATCCCGCGGGCCGGGATAACTTAACTCAGCTTCCATGGGAAACAGAGACCAGCCATAGATGCCTGAGAGGAGTAATGATGGCACTGATTTAATCTCCAACCTAGAGATATGCCAGGGATGTTTGTCACCTGTTTAAGAAGCTAAAATGTCACCATGGAGTCTACAGTTCTTTGATAACCATTTCATCTACAAAACAAAGGAGGCGTGTGAACACATGAAATGAAAAATAAGAGACACTGTGAGCTAGGGGAGCCCTGAATGCCCTGCGGGAGTCTCTACGTCTTGGGGGCACTGAGGTCCTCTCCCAGGGCTGGGCACCAGGACTCTCTCATTGTGCTCACCCTTTTCCCTGCCTCACTCTGGCTTTTGGATGAGAGGAAATAGAATTGAGAAAATATCAGAAAAGTTTCTCCATAAGAGAAAGGCAAACCATTTTCAGTCTCCTAACCACTCTTCTTCATTTCTTGAGGTTTAAACCAACTTTAATCACAAAGCCATGAGGCCATTGGTTTTCCCACCCATTCACTACAATGTGGGATCAAACATTTTCTTTTTTGTGTCTGTTTATATGATAACTTATGTAGCCTGCAGACTTTCAGAGCGATACAGTATTGGTTTCCTTCAAATATTAGAGCTTTACTCTATTTTATTTTCATTTCCCAAAATATAAAATCTGAGTCCCTTAGCTTGGGATCACTAAGTACCAAGAAATCAATCAGCTGAGTTAAAGTGGCTCACAGAACTTGGGACAATTATAGCTTCTTGCAAAGCCAAAAAGTACTTCTGAGCCAAGGTCATTCAGTAAATCTCAGCTAAATAAAAATGTCATTAAGTTTTGTAAAGCCTTTTTGCTGGGCAAGAAGTAAAAAATAACTTACAAACCATTTGAAAAACCCTAAAGGTCAGTCAGACTTCTCTGAGCAAAGGCTTCATCAGGCTTCTGCCTCTTACTGAAAGTCAAAGCATCAAATATCCATCGATTCTTGAGCCCTCTTTATTCTCCACCCAGAGCTGAGCCCAATGCCTCACAGTCTGCCTGTTTCCAATTCCTCTGTGCCAGCATATCTGTTAATGTCCCAAGCGGCTTCCTTTACAGCCGCGTGATCATCTGTGTATTATTAACTAATCGCAAATTAAAGTCATTACTTGGTGCTTAATTTTATGTAACATTTCTTTGTAATGTGTACAAAAGAAATTTGTTTTTAACAGGAGTTTTGTAAATAGCATGTGCCATGATTAATTAGAGAATGAGTCTGCTGATTTGAAATTCAGTGCAACCATTTTCTTTAGAAATAATTTCTTAAATAACATTTCAAGGTGTGTGAGTCTTCAAAAGAAAAAGTAAGCATCTTGCATGGATTGTCCTAATGCTCCATCTTAGATATTGTTTAGACTTTACCTGCTAGAGAACTCGCTTTTATTTTTCTCAAATCTATAGGCACTGTAAGGAACAGCAACATTCAAAGGGCTATTATAAATCCTTTTTGGAACAAGGCAGAGTATAAATGAACAAACTAACAAACAAACGGGCAAATCCTCAAATACTTGGAGGTCAGTTATATTTCAGTATAGTTTGCTGTCCTCCAACTACTGTGCTTTTTCTCTTCCTCTTACACCCCAAGTGCATTCCTGCCTCTAGGCCTTCGCACTTGTTCCTTCTGCCTGGTCATCAATCCCCCTGGGTCTTCATGTGGCCTGAACTTTAGTCAGGGACTTTTCTGATCATTGTAGCTAAGGAAGTTCCCTGCCCCAGCCCCTATCACATCACTGTGTTTAATGTTTTATTTACTGAACAAATCACTCTGTGATATTACCTGGCTTTGCGGTTGTTTCTTTCCTCTGTCTCCTCCTATGAAATGTAAGATCCTCAAGAGCAAAAACTTGTCTGCCTTGTCCTCCCTGTATCTCTAACACCAAGAACAATGTCTGGCACATTAGTGGGTGCTTAATTAATCTCTGCAAAATCAATGAATGGATTGCATTGCTTTCACAAGCCAATAATTAACCATGCCCCTAATGGAGAGAAAGCATAATCGGCTTTCCAAGTTTTCTTGAGGGAACAGAAAGAGAAATTCAGTATTTGTTGCCTAGCCGTGAGATACCTTGCAATGGATTGAAGAATTAAAACATGAACAAATTAGATGATGGGAAAAGCAGGAAGTAAATGTTGTAACTAATTGCTTAGTTTGTGCGAACACCAGATGCCCCCTGAGAAGTGAAGCCTTCAGTCACTTGGCACCTCCTGCCTTTAGGAGCCCAGCAACCAGTTGAACTGTTCCTATTAAAATGACTTGGCCAAGCCATTGTCTTTGCTGATAATAAATTAAAAGATCTGAATAATCTTTCAACTTTCATGTACTTAAAACCGGATTCTTAGGGTTGATATGGTGTTTCTGAGCAAGAATTAGATGCGGGTGCAGGTGTGATATCACAAAGAGTTTCTGACCAAGAGAATAAAAATTAAGAGGTATAAATTTACATGTTATATCATACTACATTTTAGTTTTGTCTTCAAAATAGACCAAAGTCTTCCTTTCTCCCCAGAGTCTCATGCCTTTTAAAGCTCTCCTGTAATTCTTCTTTTACATTAAGTCTAAATTGAATGGATGGGACCTTGCCTGGCAATATTAATAAGATTTTAGCCTGGGTCCAGTGGCTCATGCCTATAATCCCAGCACTTTGGGAGGTGGAGGCAGGGCATCTCTTGAGGTCAGGAGTTCGAGACCAGCCTGAGCAATATAGCAAAACCCCACCTCTACTAAAAATTTTAAAATTGGCCAGGTGTGGTGACCCATGCCTGTGGTCTTGGCTACTCCGGAGGCTGAGGCAGGAAGATTGCATGAGCCCAGAAGTTTGAGGTTACAGCGAACTATGATCACACCACTCATCTGCAGCCTAGGTGACCCAGCGAGACTCTCAAACAAACAACAACAATGACAACAACAAATGATTATTTTGCCCATTGTGAGTAGAGTCTGGAAAATGTTTATTTTCTTTTTCTGTATACTTAATGTGAACAAAAATTTAGGTGGCTCAGTGTGCAATGAGTTACAATTGCCACATGTTCAGATTCCATCTCTGCCATTTACTAACTGTATAAACTTGGGCAACATACTAAAATGTCTCTGAATCTGTTTTTCTCATCTGCAAAATGGGCTTAAGATAACTCACACGGATCAAATGTCAAGCATTTGTTTTCATGTAGTCACAAGTGGCAGTTCTTTTACTTTTTACTTTTGGATTTTCAAGTGTAATCTAGAGAGTCATCTCCAATCCTGGTTATAGATTAATTCACCCAGGGCTTTTTCCCTCCAATATTTTAGATGTTTTACCTTTTACACATAAATTTCTCATCCACTTAGAATTTTTCCTGTTATTGGCCAGGTGCAGTGGCTCACACCTGTAATCCCAGCACTTTGGGAGGCTGAGGCGGGTGGATCACAATGTCAGGAGATCGAGACCATCCTGGCTAACACAGTGAAACCCCATCTCTACTAAAAAAAAAATACAAAAAAATTAGCTGGGCGTGGTGGTGGGTACCTGTAGTCCCAGCTACTTGGGAGGCTAAGGCAGGAGAATGGCATGAACCCGGGAGGCGGAGCTCGCAGTGAGCCAAGATCGCACCACTGCACTCCAGCCTGAATGAAAGAGCAAGACTCCGTCTCAAAAAAAAGAAAAAAAAAATTGTCCTGTTATGTAGTACATATGTAGTAAAAAGGAGTGGCTTCAATTTTATCTCTTTGCACACAGCTACCCAGCTACCCTAACACCATTTATTAAAAGTTCCATCCTTTACTTACTAATAAGAGATACCACTTTTATCATATATTATTCATATGCAACTAGGTATGCCTTTGAATTTTCTATTTTTTCCATTCCTATGCTTATTCATTAACACCAAACTATTTCAATTTTAGAGGTTGTGTTTTATTACAATACCATTGCTCTTCTTTTGAGGCATTTTCTAGCTATTCTTGCATGTTTATTCTTCCAAACAAACTATATAATCAATTTATCTAGCTCTAGGAAAAATGTGATGAGATTTTCACAGGGATTACATTAAATATTTAAATAAGCATAGAAATACCTAAGATATTTATGATACTTTCTGTGTGACTATCATTTACCTTTCCAATTGTTTAAATCTAATTTTGTACCTTTATGAGTGTTTAATAATTTTCCTAATACTGATTTTGAACATTTCTTGTTAAGTTTACACTGAGGTATTTTGTTTTTAGCTATCAGACACACGGTCTTCTATTCCATTATATCTTCTAACTGGTTTTGTTTGCATCTACTGATTCAGGAATCATGTTGTTATAGTAGTACTGGTATTAGTATTCTGAAACTGTCGTGTATGTAGTGTGGGGTAAAGCAAGAATATGCATATGTTGGTGT